ATTTTTTTGAAAAATCTCAACTTTCGAATATCAAAAACAAATAGATGGCCTCAGAGCTGTTTGAATTTTTAGAGCAAATTATGATTGACACTTTTTCGATTAAATTAACCCAATTTGAGAAAACTGGATCAATAGGTAAAAATTTTATTTCGGTGGGAACTTCGATAATTAAGTTTCACTTTCGAAACAACAATTCAATCACGTTTTTCGGGACCTTTACACTTTCACTGTTCGATATTGGAGTTGGCCTTACTTTCAACTAAGGAACTGAACTGAAAAAGAAATCAAAAGTCAAACCGCGAAAACTCAAAATTGAGCATGAACAAATTTAAGATTTTTCCTGGAAAAAAATCTACGACTAGAGAAGAGTTTGAATTACGTTCTCATTGACTCTTGATAAATCAAGCGAAAACTCATTGAATTTCTAAACACTTTACCCTCGCGACTAGCAGGAACATTGCAACCGAGTGCTATAGTTTTTTCACTAAACAATTTAGTTCAAAGGACTCAATTCCTGGTAGTACCTTGGTTCAAATTTAATTGAAAATTCTGAGAGTCTCCGGCTAACTTAGCCTGGAGGCAAAGAATAAGCAGGGGACGGCAAAAATCCTGGGTTCAAACCTGACCAGGACCTGTTTTTATTGAACTGGGAATGCTGTTTCAAATAAAAATCTCGTGCTACTATTTGTCTGTTTATTTTTTGTCGGCTAAGTTGCCATATCTTAGAATCTTTTCTGATGCAAGCAATTTTCATTGTAAATGCTTTTAGTGCTTACTCCTAAAAATTATAAAATTTTACTAACCTCGATTTCGCATATTTTCCTTTTTTGATTTTGTATATTTCATAATTTTATTCAGCCCAGATGGTTTTTGGTGAAATTGTATGGTTTTAGTATCATAATAATGGGTCGTTGCAAGTCAAACACAATTTTCAAGCTCCCCTGCGGATTGCACGAAATGCAAAAAGTCTTAGATTTTAAATTTGAGCTGCGAGTTTTTCATAACAAGTTTATTTTCGGTTCTACTGAAAAACACCCAAGTGTTGTCGGCTGTTGCCGTGCAATAATGGTTTTAGATTTTTCATTGAACACTGTCGATTGTGTTTACGGCTAAAACTCATTGAATTTCTAAAAATTTTAGCCTTGCGACTACCAGGAACATTGCAACCGAGTGCTATAGTTTTTTTCCGTAAACAATTTAGTTCACAGGAGTCATTTCCTGGTAGTACCTTTGTTCAAATTAAACTAAAAATTCTGAGAGTCTGCGGCATACCTAGCCTGGAGGCAAAGAATAAGCAGGGGACGGCAGAAATCCTGGGTTCAAATCTGACCAGGACCTGTTTTTATTGAACTGGGAATATTGTTTCAAATAAAAATCTCGTGCTACTATTTGTCTGTTTATTTTTTGTCGGCTAAGTTGCCTTATCTTAGAATCTTTTCTGATGCAAGCAATTTTCATTGTTAACGCTTTTAGTGCTTACTCCTAAGAATTAAAATTTTACTAGCCTCGATTTCGCATATTTCTCTTTTATGATTTTGTATATTTCATAGTTTAGAATTTTATTCAGCCCAAATGGTTATTGGATTAAACTGTATTGGTTTAGTAGAATAATAATGGGTCGTTGCAAGGCAAACACAATTTTCAAGCTCCCCTGCGGATTGCACAAAATTCAAAAAGTCTTAGATTTAAAATTTGAGCTGAGAGTTTTTCATAACAATTTTATTTTCGGTTCTACTGAAAATTACCTAAGTGTTGTCGGCTGTTGCTGCGCAATAACGGTTTTAGAATTTTCATTGAACACTGTCGATTGTGTTTCTGGACGTGTTTTCCGCAAATAGAATACCATTCCAGACATCAATTTGAAGTTTTTTTTAGTTTTTTGTTTGGACTTAGTGGCTTTCCTCCTACTTGCTTGCAATGCCATATTAATTTGGTATCGCTTAATATTAACATCCACTTTCGGAAATGAAACTTAATAACATTTTTCGCGCCACTTTAAATTCGGTAAATAGGGAAGGTAACTTATCTCTTTTAAACAGTAAGATTCGAATTACCTGAAAAATAAATGAAAAATCAAACTGCGAAAAATTACAATGGAAATCATTAATGCCACTATTTCAAAACATAGCCAACATAGAGTTGGAAAAGAGTCATGAACGCAAGGAAACAAAAAGATACTGGCTTGTTTTTTGAAAAACCTTCATTTTTTGAACTTTCAAGAAAAAGCTAGATGGCCTTAAAATTTAGAAATTCAAAGAAGAATTTCTATGGCGTTTAAGTCCTTTCATTTTCAAGCCAATTTAACAGCTACAATTTTTGAACATAGCCAACAGACTAGAATTTCAAAGCAAAAAAGATGGCCTTAAAAAATTACAAACAAACAGCAGAGGTACATCAGAACAATAAAAGCAACAATAATGTTTTAGAAAATAAAATTCAGATAAGCGATTTAGTGGATGGTAAAAACGAAGCGGAAACTAAGCCTACAAATAGTAAACCAAAAGCGACGAAGTCGAAAAAAAATTTCTTTAAAAATTTGAGCCGCAAATTTGTTGGAAAAATACTTGTAAGGATGTAAGGTGAGAGTAATAGACTAACAAGCGGAAATATACGCACATACTGCATGCATGTCGTCTACTGAAAGCAAGCTGAAATCCGTGAAGTTGTGTATGGGAAAAAAGTCTAGTACCCGATTACAATAAAGAACTGATTTCCACTTTCGAATCTAGAAGTCTATTTTGTTTTTTGAAACCTTTTTGCTGTTTGATGAAGGAGCTTGCCTTACTTTTAGCAAAAAAATGAACTGAAAAGAAATATAACCGCGAAAACCGGATTTCAGCTGGAACAAATCCTGAAAAAAAAGTGAAAAAAAAAATCACCAAGACATTTAACAGTTTTCACTATGTCTAGGTTTCTTTAAAAAGAAAAAAGAATAATAAGCTTGGTTTCACTTCGGAACATATTTCCGAGCGGGATAACAAATCGCGTTAAGCTTTCAGCATCATAGATATAGCCTTCATAGTATAGACCGAAAAGTTTATGCAGATTCAACGCAAATAAAGGATGAGGCGTAGCGACAAGCTTGTGAGCCTATTAGCAAGAGCCAATAGGCATAATTGGGTGTTTATACTACACAATTATACTTATAGATTACATACGTAATTGAGCGTCACAAGCTCTGAACTTTTTTGGAATAGGTTTTTCCCGACACCAAAAATGTGAGTTTTTTTTGCAATTGAGAAGCACTTAAAATAGTCTTAAGCGAAATTAGCCAAAAAATTAGTGTGTTTTTAAGATTCATCTCCTTATAACCCGCAAAAACAACTTTTCATTAAACTTTTGTTTGGTAATAAATTACTTGGACTAGCAAGCATGCCTCCAATAATCAATTGGCTCGCAAAAAATTAGATGTTGTTCTGATCAAGCTATCCAAGCTGTGAAACTTTGAACAATTTCAAATTGAGCCATATCGTGAATCAGTTTGGAAAACTTCAGGTTTTATAGGATAAATCAATTCCCGAAAATTTGAAGTTTTTCTAAGCAAGCTATTCAAACTACGAAACTTTGAAACATTTCTAAATGTTTCATAAAGCAAATCGAATGGCGAAATTTTAAGGTTTTTCTATGGAAGCTATTCAAGCGATGAAACATTGAATTAGTTCGAGTTGTTTCATAGAGCGAATTAATTCGCGAAAAAATTAAAATTTTTCTATGCAAGCTATTAAAGCAAGGAAACTTTGAAAAAACTCATGTGGCTTCATAAAGGGAGTCAGTTGGCAAAACGTTAAAAATTTTCTAAGAAAAACGTTAAAGCTAAGAAACAATGAAATATTTCAAGTTATTTCATAGACTGAATCAGTTGGCTAAAAATTTAAGTTTTTCTAAGCAGGCTTTTTCAGCTTAAGTATAAAATAATTCAAGTCATTTTATAAACCGAATCATTTTGCGAAAAGTCTTTCTAAGCAAGCTTTCCAAGCTATGGAATTTCAAATTATTTCAAGTTATTTTATAAACCGATCAGTTCGCGAAAAGCTTTAAAGTTTTTCGAAGCAAGCTATTCAAATTTATGAAACATTTTAAGTTATTTCGTGGACCAAATTGGTTCACAAAAAATATAAGTTTTTCTAAGCAAGCTTCTAAAGCTATGAAACTTTGAATTAGTTAAGTCATAGACTGCATCGGATCCCGAAAAGCTTAAGTTTATATAAGCGCGCTATTAAAGTTATTTCAAAGGTCAAATCAGTTTGCGAAAAGCTTGCTTCCAAAATGTTTGCAAAATTTTTACTTAAAACGATTCGGTCTATGAGATAACTTGAAATATTTCATTGTTTTTCTGAGCACATTATTTATGCGATGAAACTTTGAAATAAGTCGAGCTGTTTCATAGAGAAATTCGACTGGCGAGAAGTTCCAGGTTTTGTAAGCAAGCTACTGAGACAATGAAACTTTGAATTATCTCACGTTTTCACAGAGCAAGTCAATATGCGAAAAGATTCTGTTTTTCTAAGCAAGCGATGAAACTTTGAAATACTTCAAAATGTTTCATTAAGCAAATCGGATGGCGAAACTTTGTTTTTCTAAGCAAGCTATGCAAGCGATGAAACCTTGAAATATTTCAAAACATTTCATAGCGCGAATCAGTTTGCAAACAGCTAGTTTTTTTGAGCCAGGAGGTTGCTGTTTTTAGTTGGTTCGTTTCAGAATTAAATTGATATGTAAAATATGAAAGGCAAAATTTCGAAAAAAAATTGGACAGGCAATGTTTAACCTTGAAAATGAATTGAGTTCATCTTGTCTAAAGAATTGAACTCCTGTTTAAAAAATTTGTAGAATATTTATTATCTCTTAAACGTTAAGCCTCAAGAATTGTTTAAACGCTGCATTCGACAAACCTAAAACATTGCGTTCAGTTAAACACTGTGTCCATAGCGCATTCGGAGTTTCATTTAATTTATAAGATTCTGCGGAAATTGTGAATTTTCATCCAAAATAGTTTCTATGTTCATTTACACTTAATCAAACAAACGATAGGCAAACAAAGTTTTTGAAAAATAATAGTTTGAAGTTTGAAACAAAACAGGTCCTGGCCGGATTCAAACCCAGGACATTTGCCCTCCCAGGCGTGGTTGTTACCGCTAGGCTAAGAAGGACGGAGAAGCTAAGAAACCTGATTTTGATATAAGCCAAGCTATCAAGTGATTCAAATTATTTTGTTCAACAAGTTGTGAACCTGGGATAAATTCTATATTCCAATTTGATAACGCTTTGATAACGCTAATCGAAATCATAAAACATTAAATGTCACTTACTTCTCGTCCAATTCCAGTAGATTCGATTTTGATGCCGAGGTCTTTCTCAATCGCGTCCTTCTTTTTCACTAAAAAACATAATATTGCTCGAATATCAGGACAACGCCCCGAATGTTCCGACTGCCACTGAATTAGCCTCGAATAGTTTTTAAATAAATTTTTTGATCAGCCACATATCAAATAAACAGTCCCAAAAGTTGATTTGTATTAATATGACCAATTAATTTGCCTAAATTTAATTTCGAACAATATCAGGGCGGGATAATTCGCCACGCATGAATAACTGGCGAATTGAAACTAATAAATTTTGATCCAGCGGTTTACAACCGAATACCGAAGTTAGGCTAGGGTAAGCACACTCGCGTGGCAATATGAAAACTTCTGGATTGCTCCCCGCACGCTTCTAAATTTCCTTGAAAAAGTAGATTCGAATGAAAACCCATCCAAGCACATTCTCCGTTTTCATCGACTGTCGAGAACACTTTCACAACTGAAGCTAATACCATTGAAAGAATGGAATATTTCTTTCATCACATTCACCAACGGAAGCGTCAAAACAACTTTTTATCGCCAACACTTAAACTTCGTTTGATTCATTACTTAAGATAACTGCATTCTTATTTAACAAACTTCAACTGACAGTTGGAAAAGAGTAATGGACGCAAAGAAAAAAACTGTTTTATGAAGCAATTTCAAATTATGAAACAACTAGAGCTTTCGAATTTCAAAGAAAAAACATGCTCTTATAACTCTATGAGCTTCAAAAACAATTTATGATTGGTTCTTTTTTGATTAAATTAACTTAATTTAAAAAAAACTGGGCCGATAGATTCAATAGATAGTTTTGTTTATTTCGCTGGGAAATCTGACAGTTAAAATCCATTCTCGTAACTAGAAGTTGATCACATCTTTTGTGAATTTTACACTTTCGCTAATCGACAGTGCAGTTTGGCTTCCTTATAACAAAGGAAATGCAGTGAGCTTGAATAGATATCAGAAGGCAAACCGCAAAAAAAAAAATTAAAATTGAGTGTGAACAATCTTAAGATTTTTCCTGAAAAACTCTAAACAATCAACAATACCTATATAAGTGTGCACTACGTTCATTACTCTTAATAACTTTAACTGCTCCAGAGTCTATCCATGTGGCTCAGTTTTAGATACAACTGCCAGTATATAAAAACGCAAAGGGACTTTTATTGACTTACTGATAAGTTTGGCCACTTGGGTGGCATTTCGGAAGGGATCCGGCTCCACGTAGAACGTTACCTTGCGCCCTCCGAAACTGAAACATTAAATACATTAATGCCTGCTTTCTTCTATTAACCCAAGTAATTATAGGCTCTTAAAACTCGAGCCCTAACTTAAAAAAAAACACTTACTTTCAACTTACTTTAAAGAATAACGTTTTGTTTAAATGCATCACCAAAAATAAAAAGAAATCAATAGCACAAATCTCAAGTTTCAAGTTCTTCATAATATTTTCATAACTATTTTTTAATGACCGTGATTTACTGATATAGATTTCGAAAATCCTTATTGAATGACTTTTTTTGTTCAGTAAGGTTCCTTCGGATCTCCTTCCGTACTATTTTAATTCTCGAAAATCCTTGCCAGTCAAGAAAATCAATTACGAAGAACACTTTTAAGCCCTCTCATATCTGGCCTTAAATGGCATTTATTGCATAGATGGCGTCTGTTTTTCAATTCTGAGCATGATTATAGCAATTTACACGATACGTGAGATATTGTATTAGTAGGCATTAAAATCTATTTTGGTGAATTTGTTCTATTTTGGTGAAAAATCCAACTTTTAGACCAAAAATGTGTCTCAGTTTCACTAGATCACTTATCACCAACGCAGACGGGTATCATTTATTTGGCCAGGTAAAACACAGTCACTCAAATGGCCACAATTTCCTTTCAACACGCACTCCTATGGCATACTTGATGGAAACGTGAAACTTGAGCAAATTTGCACAGTAGAAGTTGGAATTGAAATTTCCGCTCAAAAAAAGCTCTTCCTGCTTTCTAATTTTTTTTTGTAATTATTCAAAAGAGCAAAAACGGAATACGGCTAAGCACCACTCACTACTCCTGGCGAAGAATTCAATTTATGGTCTACTATAGCAGTACTACTTTAAAATAGGACGTTTTCAAGCGCGAAATTTGCGTAGGTAAAACCAACTGACTTCCTGTATGGGATAGAGAGGAAACGAATATTTCCAACCATTTACGTTTCTATTTCAAATTAAGAGGTCGTATTTTTAAATGGGACATCTTACCACCAATAAGATTTAAGGTCACATGCATGGTCGTAGCCCATCCTAGTTGAGACTAAAATGTTCTCTGCCGAAAAAGGAAATAATTACATACCGAGGCAAAAATAATTTTCATGAGCTCAATAAAATAGAAACTCTATTTCCTCCTCCAGTTCCAGAATTAAAAGACTTCAAGCTAATCAAATTTCAGGAAAAATTGATAATTAAATAATTCGAGACTAAATTAAACCGTTTTTAAAAGTGATTAAGAGGTATATATTTATATTTTTTCCGAGATAATCGCAAGTATATTTTCCAAGTTATTTTTAGTTTGCATATTGGAACTCAAAGTGGGACTTAATCATTGAGATGCGAAGGGGCCGCACCAATCTGTTAGTAAGAGAGTGGAAACTGAGTTTTAGCAGACATTTAGACCAACTGAGGCATAATTGACTGACAGATGTAAATCTTGGGCAAACTTTCCTATTTAAGGCAATGATCTATTCCAAAAACAGACTAGTCTAAATATGGGGTAAACACTAATTGACGCGCACCATACATCGCATCTCGTACCGAATGTAAGCGCAGCCGAGCAAGCGGTTGCTACTTGCGAATGCCGCGTTTGAAGTAAGCGTTTTGACTGGGGCAGTACAACAGTGCCGAAGTACAACACTGCCGAAAAAAAATTAGTTCACCAGTGCCGAAAATGAAAACTTTGTTCAACAGTGCCGAAAATGAAAACTTTGTTCAACAGTGCCGAAATTTTGAACAAATTTCAACATATTAAGTGCGGCAATCAAAAATTAAACAGCGATCGTTTACAATCTTAAGTAAAAATTTGGTGAATTCCTATAGGTTCCAATATTCATAGCTCCCAAAATAAAAAATCTGTTGCATAAGTTCCAAAATTTATCTTATTGAATTGTGATTGGTTGAAATTTGAGCCAACGAATTTCTGGATTGATTGTATACTGTTCAAGCAGCATAAACTCAAACTGCAGAATAGTGACCGCCGCGCCAACGTGTTCCGAGCTTGTCACCAAAGGGTAGGACTCTATACGAAATTTAGAGCCGGTTATTTCCGCGAAGCGGCGACGCGCGCCCACCGGCGACCTTAAACCGAGACTCGGCTAATTTACTCTTTTGACCAATTGAAAAAATTTAGGACTTGTGCGACTGCTATTTTATTTTGGAACCTATGGGACTGATTTTTCATTTTGGAACCTATGAAAACGCATCAAAAATTTAAGATTTTGAGCGAGAAGATTTGCAGCTTAAACGTTTTGGCGCCAAAATTATGTTTAATTTGCTGTTGCAAACATATTGGCGCCAAAATTGGAGTGATTTTCCTTGATAATTAGCGTCAGTAATTTCCCGCTCTTTAGAAAATGCGTGTAAATTATTCTGAAATTTTCCCGCCTTTTCGGCACTGTTGTGATTCGGCACTGTTGAACGCCCCCCTTGAGACATACTTGATTCTGATTACTTTTCAAGTTGGTGGTTTAGCGCAGTTAAAGAAATTGTTCAGTGAAATCAAAGCGTTATTTCAAGTTCCACGAGTAAAAAAAAGCGCTTCACTGTGTAAAAAAAACTTGTCTTTTAGCAAAGGCAGATAGGGAAATTTAAACAATTAGTCTGAAAGACGGAAAGATTCAAACCAGAAGAAAGATTTCAAAAAATTTATGCTGGGAATCCGAATCTGTAACAGAAGAGCTTTAAAATATAAATTGACCGCATGAGAAGAAATCGCCGTGCCTAAGTGAAAGAAAATCTGACGACAGGACTCTGGCGCAGGACAATTAGACATAATTTTCCTTCTATTTACAAAACAGCGATACCAGCTAAGTTACCCTTATGCCTACAAAAGCCGAAAAGCAAAAACCCAAAACATAGGCAGCTAACAGTTGGAAAATGGTCAATGGACTTAAGGAGAACAAAAAAAGAATAGCCGGCTACTGTGCAATTAGCACAGAATGTTCCGACAATAGTCCTTCAAAAAAAGTTTTTTCAAAATAGTGTCCTTTTGTTTTCTGCGTGGTGTGAAAAAAATATCTGAACGAAACGAAAAATAAAAAATGGCACAACCGACAGTCATAGTAAACTAGGCCAATTGGAAAACAGTTTTTAAAGAAAAATGACTCGTCAAACTAAGAAAAAATCGTAGTTTTTGATTCCCAGACTGGCGCTAGAAAAACTTCCCAAATTTTCTCTAGCAAAATTAAGTTTTCAGGGCTTAAATTAAGCTTAATTAAGCTTTTGTATGAATGCTCGCTTATCAGCTCAAAATGAGACCAAACATTTCAAACCGGTTTTTCTAGACACTGAGAAAATTTGTCTTTTGAATCACGCCTGGAAAAACTTTAATATGATATATCACTCAGCCTATTCTGATGAATATTTGTGGTACCTGATTTGGCGTGGAAAACAAGAAGACAAACAAACACAGCCGAAAACAAAGTTCCTCCACATTTTTCAAATGGTCGGAACAATGACTGGTGACGTTTCAAAAACTTAAGAAAAACATCGGGATAAAGCTCTAGAATTTTCAAGAACAACTTGAGAGTGATACTATTTGAGAATATCTTGAGAGTCGTTTATTAATCGTAACTCTTAACATTAAACAGAGATGAAGCTGAGCTTCGCATCATTTCACCTACAACACAAAAAAGACATGTCAAACTATCCGACAAAATGAGACGAAAAGTGGTAAATAAAAAAGCTCACTAGAAAATTTCGGAAAACCTAGATCTACCAAATTTCTAGAAAGCTTTTCTCAATTTGTCTTGAATAAAATGTCATTTCGAGAAAAGCAATGAGAAACATTTTGACGTAAAATAAGGACTGAACTTAGGATTCGGTAACAAAGCCGACAATACTTGAGCATACACCAGTTCACGAGAAACAAAAATTGTTTCCATGAAATAATTAAGCACTCAAAAACATCAAGTCCTGTCCTCGAAACTAGAGTTTTTCTTTCATCAAACGAAGCAAAATAATGCACTAAGCCGATATAAAAAAGCCAAAACATTTTAGCCGAATAAATAGAAAACGAAACCAGAGAAATTATAACAAATCGAAGTTGGTAAATTTATAATCAACGTGAAACAAACTGCAAGGATAAAACTTTTGCTGTTATGAGTCGGATTCGAACCTCTGACATCGAAATTGAATTCTCACATCCTCGCATTATGTGCAATAGATTGGAAATTACAGTTGATTTTTAAAAAATCCTGACATGGAGTTTTTATTATTGTTATGTTGTATGAAACAAATAAATTTTTCATTTCAATTGACGAATTAATAATTCATCAATTTAGTTAGCTTATTACTGATCGAATGGCAAAGCATGAAATTTTTAACTACCAATGCTGCCTGCTGCAAAAGTGCCACCAAACAAAATTAGCATTAAGTACCGACTTAGGCTGGAACCAAGTAGCCTTCCTCAGTCCTGCTTCGACGCCCTTCAAGATCGCAAACGGAGCCGCCTCGTTGCAGTCGATTTCGAAGCTGCCTTCGGCACGGTTTGGCGCGGCGGTCTTCTCAGGGACCTAGCCCGCAACGGTATGCCATCCCGTATCCTGCACTGGCTGAAAGCCTTCCTTTCCGACAGGAGAGAGGCTGTTCAGTGGAGCAACCGACGCAGCCGCTTTAAAGTGTTCCAAGCTGGAGTACCTCAGGGCTCACCTCTGTCACCGCTGCTGTTCAACCTGTTCACCGCCTCCTTGCTTCCTTACATCAGGCAAATTGCCCCTGAGTCTACGCAGACAACCTTTCGCTTTCTCGTCAGGTTCCACTCCAGAAGAAGCAGCAAGTCACATGCGACCAGCACTCCAAGCAGTTGACTAGTGGGCAGAATACCACCTCCTGAAGGTCTGTGCTTCGAAGACCGAGGCGTTAGTGATCTCCTTAGATCCAAGGGAGACAGCAGGAAAAGCGAAGCCTCCCCTACGTCCGACCGGCGACACGTAAGTACAGCTCCGACCTTCAACGCAAAGGTCCGGAAATTCTCGGCATCACCTTCGAC